TTATATTTCTATACACTTATTGTGACGACCTATATGAGCGGGTGCAAGACACTGGACGAGCTACCACATTGGCAGGTTAGAGGATGTCATAATCTCACATCTCCTCTAGAAGGTGGCGTGCTATATGTAAGATCCAACATCTTCTATGACACAATGCATTTTAAAATCGCGATGGCCGTGAACCAACCAGAACTCCAAAGTTAAGAGTATTTACTTTTACTGGAGTAGTACTACAATAGGTGACCCATGGGAAGTCTCTGCTTTGGGGGAGCCAAAAACAGACAATATTGTGTCTAAGTATGGTAAGGGTTGTTACAAATTGTATTAGAGCTGGAGCTGCGCTGAAAGTGTGACCAACGAGGACGTGAGGCCCCCACAGGGGGTAAAGCAAAGTGCCTACTCTAGATTGTACTCGGATGGGTGAATTGGCAAACCCGTGAGAAGTCTTAAAAGCAAATAACATTGCGTCTGTATAGGATAAGAGTTGTTACATATATACTTCAGTAAAATGACAAAATTATCTCTAAAAGGTGAAGTTTAAGTATTTTTTTGGAATACTTGCGTATATATAGTGCAAGAATACATTGAAGGACCATTATAAAAGTGAATTTTAAAATATGTGTTATATACTTGACTAGTTGGATGTCTCGATCAAATGACTATGTAGGAAGTAGGAACTAGATAATAGGGGTGCATAAAAGAACTGTGGAACCGTGAGAACCGAACCGTGCGTTATAGTAGGCTTCGGTTCTGGCTCTCACGGTTCCGGTTCCGGTCCCGGTTCCTAATTTTGGAACTGTGGGTGTACGGTTCTGGTTCCGGTTCCAGTTCCAGCCCGTGGGAACCAGTAAGAACCAGAACCGTGTATATATATATATATATTATATTTAATTATATTAAGTAACTAAATAATCTAAACATTCATCACTCATACAATTACAATTTAAAGCAACACCAAGCCACGTGGTCCTAAGCTAACCATAAAAGAAAAAGTGAAAAACATACTTTTTTGCCCTAAGCTAACCCTCATCTATTCAGTCCTCGCCTCTTCTCATCTAAACCTAAACCTAAGCTAACCCTCACCTCCTCTCATCGCCCTCGCCTCCTCTCAAGTCTCATCTAAATGTCACGGGCCTAGAGATTTGGCACAGCGGCATGGCCCGTGTGGCACCAAGGCGTTGTTTCAGCTCGCGCAAGTGCCCTGGTCAGCCACCACGACCTGCCCTCCCAAGGATACATGCTGACTAGTGTCGACCTGCCTTGGTCTCATCAGGGGAATGGCTCCAGCTCCCGACCAGTTTGTGCAAGGATGGCCAACTCCCTTCTTCATAGTCAAGTCCACGACTAGCGACAAGCACCTCGAACTGAACCGAGTCGACCTGCCTGAACTCTAAAGAGGTACCATCTTGTGGTCTTGCACGCCCCTTCCCTGGAACCATTCCCAGTCAATGAATGTTCTTAGCCAACCAGCATGCGTGTCTTCTATGCTCATGGCGTCGTTAGTAATCAAACCGTGACACTCTCCCACCTGAATGTTGCGACGCCCTCGTCGCAGTACAGCGCTGACTCTACTGCGTCCAACATTCCAAAGTCTCTCTCCTCCAAGTGGTATGCTCGCCTGCCCACCATTGCTTCCTTGTACAACCCCTGGCTGCACTCGCCCAATGACAGGGTTTGGGGCTAAAAGGACGCCCACTTCTTCGAGACGCAACCCCACATTATGCCAGCTCCGCGACACCCCGAGCAAACAAGGGCCCTCCGGTTGACTTGATACCCGCCCTTCATTTTGCATGCCTCTTGAACTTGTAAGAACTTTGGTGCGCGTGGCCCTCCGGCCATCCAATGTGCAACTTCAACGGACGCCTCTTCCTGGAGAGATAGAGGCTCTCCTCCAACAACTTTGATTGCCCACCGACGCTTTAGTGCACCCACTTCATTCTCAAGACCCCCGGATCGACAAGGGGGCATACCTCTGTGCTTTGCCCCAAGTTCTGTTCTGATACCATTTGTCACGGGCCTAGAGATTTGGCGCAGCGGCACGGCCCGTGCAGCACCAAGACGTTGCTTCAGCTCATGCAAGTGCCCTGGTCAGCCACCACGACCTGCCCTCCCAAGGATACATGCTGACTGGTTTCGACTTGCCTTGGTCTCATCAGGGGGAACGACTCCAGCTCCCGACCAGTTTGTGCAGGGATGGCCAACTCCTTTCTTCATAGTCAAGTCCACGACTAGCGACAAGTACCTCGAACTGAACCGAGTCGACCTGTCTGAACTCTGAAGAGGTACCATCTTGTGGTCCTGCACGCCCTTTCCTTGGAACCATTCCCAGTCAATAAATGTTCTTAGCCAACCAGCATGCGTGTCTTCTATGCTCATGGCGTCGTTAGGAATCACAAAGTGACATAAAGCTTCCTTATTGATCCAGTCCTCACTGAGTCACTCCTCATCCAACGCCATGGTGGATCTTCAGCTGGGGAAACTTTGTGAAGAATAGCTCTCTGATGTCATTCACAAAATTGACATCATAGAAGGTGATGGAGGTGTTGGCACAATTCTCAAACAAACATTTCCACCAGGTAATCAATCTTTATACACACACAAACACATATGCGTTGAACAAACAGACTAATTAATACAGATCTTACATCTGATATGTTTTTTTTTTTTTTTGAATTAGGGACATCGGTTTTTTCTTATTACAAGGAAAAGTTTACAAAGATTGATGATGAGAATCGAGCACCAGGTAATCAATCTATATACACACACAAACACATATGAGTTGAACAAACAAACTGATTAATACAGATCTTACATCTGATATGTATTTTTTTTTTTTTTTTTTTTTGAATTAGGGACGCCGGTTTTTTCTTATTACAAGGAAAAGTTTACAAAGATTGATGGTGAGAATCGAGTGATGGAAGCAGAGTTTATTGAAGGAGCATATCTTGAAATAGGATTTACTCTGTATAGGGTTCGTTTTGAATATTTATTTGTATTTATATTTTTGCTATTGTGTTCTGTTAAATGGAACTGCACTACAACAGGGGCAAAAGAGCAAATAGTTAACAGTCGGTTCTCATGGAACCGAACCGGTATTCACGGTTCAGTTCGGTTTTATATCTATACGGTTCCGATTTTGGTTATGTTTTTAAAGAACTGTTATGAACGGTTCCGATTCTGGTTCCGACCGAAATCGTAAAGAACATAAACGTGTGCACTTCTACTAAGTAAATAATAATAACAATTCTTTATTAATATTGAGTGGCCACGTAACTCGATTCTCCTCAATTATTGGTGGTTCCTGTGAGTAGGGAGGAACTGAAAGTCAGTTATTGAAGTTTGGCGGCTTGATAAGAAGGTAGTTATTACGTGGCCATTTCTTAATTAGTAAGGAAGGGTCCCAGTGATCCAATAATGCTAGTACACTTGGACAACTTACAGTTGCTTACTCATTTTGCACGACAAATTATTGACCAATTTGATACTTGATGAGCTAATTTAATTAAAATCATTAATGACATTTGTAATATATTAATGCACTTTTAAAAAATCATGTTTTTAATTTGAGAGTCATTTAATTGATCTATGGAGTGAGATAAATACTAGGATGGTGATGATAATATTTACTTGAACCATTATTATGACAAATGAAGTTTGTTAACAGATATAATTTAATAATTGTTTATAATTTATTTTTCATTCATTTAAATTCGAAGTTTGATGGTTCAGGAAAAAGTTGATTGTACAAGTTATTTGTCAGGAAATAAATAAATAAATAAACTAAGTGCTAGTGCAAAATAAGTGCACTTCAAATTTTTTTTTCTCCAAAAAAAGAAGTGATTCTTTTCCTTCAAAATCCTATTACGTTCCATCATTTTTTTAGAAAATATTATTGTTCTCCACTTTTATGGAGTAGTTATATATATGTTATTTCATTAAATAAAAATTTATGTGAAATGCAAGTGTAAAAAGGTAGGATTCCAATATTACATCACTTTTTACCACCATCCTATATTTATTTTTTAAAATTCTAAGTGACATTTTTTTCTAAGACTTTGATAGTCACTTTTTATTTTATTTTTATCCTAACAAGAAACTTGCACAAAATATTTCTCCAATGTATTTTAATAAATTATTTATTTTGATAGGACCAAAAAATTATATTTCTTTATAGAATAAATTCTTTGGGTAATAAATTATCTCTTTTAGCACAACTAAAAAAACATATAGTACAAAAAAGAACAAAAAAAAAAAAAATGTTATCTTAATTGAATAAGTTATCTCTATTGAATAAAATATAGCCTTTGAGAGGACCCCAAAAATAAAAAATAAAAAGTACTGAAGGATATAAAGAAAGTAAAATAATAATAATAATAATAATAATAATGAAGTTTATAATATAAAAAGTAGTTATGATATTATAAAATAATTGATGATGTATTAATGAATTTATAGACCGACCATCTTATCATTTACTTTTAAAAAAATATATGTAAGTATAAAAAAGGGGGTGTGCTATCATAAATAAAATAAAATAAAAATTATTCTTTTGGTCCAAAAACAAATAAAAATAATTCTCTTAAAAAGTTAAATTTTTAAAAAATCACACTTATTTTGAGATGAATTAACCAATCATCCTAGAGTTGAAATCAGAATAGATTTTAAAAATTCTAGAGGGAAAATAAAAACTAAAACAGAAGTGACAAGACAATAAAAAATAAAAAAAATAAAAAAAATAAAATAAAAAAGAAAAAGAATCTATTTGTTGCAAGTTTATAGTATATATACCTCCAAAGTTACACTACCAAGTCTACACTTTGCCATCTCTCTCTCTCTCTCTCTCTCTCTCCACCAGAACCATAAAAGCTGTGAACTGTTTTTGCTGTGTGTGTGAACAGATGGCCTCTGCCAAGGCTTTGATCCTCAACCAATTCTCTTTCGAGTGAAATCCCCCACCAACACAAAAATCTATTCGATTTTCCAGAAGATATATTGATACAATGGACATAGTAAATCTCAAAATGGAGAAAGCCAACGCGATCAAGAGGTACCGTCGGCTTCAAAAGATCACAGCTCTGCTCCGGTTCTTCGAGCTATGCGTGGTTTTGATCTTGATCCCCAGGTTTTCCACTCAATTGCCGGTCATTTCCAGACTCTCTGGTGAGTATTTCCGGGGACTATCAACCACCCTTTTCAGTCCTCGCTTCGTTTTCATCATCGGAAATGCAATAGTCATCACTCTTTTGGTCAAATCAGGACATCATTCGAATTCAAGTAGTACTAGTACTGTTCAAGATGACAGTACTAAAATTAACAGCAGCAGAATATATGATCTCTGCAATGATGGTGTCGAAAAGAATCGGAATAGTGATCGAGAACAGAGCACGTGCGTTGAGGTTCCGACTATGTTGAATACATGTGAGTTTGGTTCCAAAGAAAGGAAGATTGTTAGGAGTCACTCAGAGGAGTACTTTGTGGAAGCGAAAGGTGGACGTGAACTGAGGCATTCCGCGACGGAGAGATGCCCGAAGAGTGTGAATTATGGTGAGAAAGCGGCAGTGATGGAGGAGGAAATGAGCAGCGAGGAGTTCCGGAGGACTGTGGAGGCTTTCATTGCCAAGCAGCAGAAGTCTCTGAGGGAAGAAGTGGTTTTGTTTGAATGATAGGTCTTTTAGGAATGTGTGTCAGTGTGTGTGTTACACTTGCTTGTCAAAAGTGGGGGGAACAAATTAAAATCATGATACTTAAAAAGGGAAAGAAAAAAAAAATTCTTATCTTGTATGTGTAATTATATATACATAATACATATTTACGTAACAAGTGGACTGCAACATCATTTATTTATTTTTTATTTATTTTTCATATCTCCAAAACCCTTTTCCAAGTTGTCATCCAGAAGAATTAATTAAGTATCAAAAAAACTAATGCTTTTATGAAAATCGATACGTAGTAAATTAGCTGTATTTTATTTTTAGTTTAGGTAACATAGTTGATTAATTAAATTAGAATTTTTTTATTAATTTTGTAATAAATTGATCATATTATGGATATATGGTTATTGATTAATTATATTTAGATAGTTTATTTTTATTATGATTATTGTGATAGTATTAATTATAATATATTTATTTTATTATTTTTTACTTATTATTTATTGTCCTTACAAATATATTATATATAAGAAAATAATAAAATATGTATAGTCGAATTTTTTATTTTTTATTTTTGAAAAAATATTTAATTATACTCATATATTTCTATACTTATATTTTTTTTTGATACCGTACTTTGCCAACTATAATTAATAATAGGATTCGCATTATTATGATGTCAATTCCCGCTCCTGTCAAAACAATTGAAGTTGTCCGATGATTGTGGGGGTTGAAATCATTACTTATAGTATAAATAAAGAAAGTCGTCAAAATTGCAAGAACAGCTATACACGTCGTGAAAATAAATTTGAAGATATGGATCATGAATGGTAATACCATAAAGTTTCAATTTTTACTGCCAAAATTCATTCATTCATTATGACCAGCTGTTGTAGGCCCTACCAACCATGAACCATGAACCATGAACCATGTTACTCTCTCTCTCTCTCTCTCATCATTCTTATGTTTTTTTTTTGTTTCACCCTAAATTATCCGACTTACTTTATTTATTTATTTATTTATTTTTCCTCTTAAATTATCCGCCTTTCCTTTTCTCCCTCAAATATTTATGTTCATCAAACTGTCAAACGATATAGACAACACATGAACCTTAATTGAATTCCATATTCCAGGTATATGCAACAAAACATACATCTTCACAAACTAAAAATTCTTAATAAATACTTGTGAGTTTTTGAGTAATAGCATTACAACATAGTCAGTGGCATTACAACGTGAATTGACACTTGCACAACCTAATCTTCACTTGTATATATAAATATATTCATATGTATTTATAATAACACATTAAATCAAAAGTGTGTATATATATATATATATATTTATCAATGACAGTCTGTGTTTCTCTTCTTTGTTTTAGGGTAAGTTTCCCTCCCTTCTCCTACTTTCTATCTTTAAAATGTACTTTAAAATTATAATTGATTGCCAACTCACGTGCCATATAATTCATGATAATATTTCATGAAAATCCTCTACACTTTCTGTTTAGCCATGTGTTGCAATGTCACTACATACACTTTGAAATTTTACTATTTAAAGTTACTCTTGATATTTACCCAAAAAAAAAAAAAAAAAGTTACTCGTTTCTAGTGTCACTTCTATAATTTACACACTAATTTTAATACTTATAAATTAGGGTAAATTATACAGACCTCCACTATAGTTTGTTATAATTACAAGGACCTTTCTTGTTGTTTAAGAAATTACTCGGATCTCGCTTAAAAATGAAAATAATATACACATACCTCTCTTCCTAGTAACGGATTGTCAAATGCACTAGCAGATTTATCTAATTTACTTAAATGCCCTCAAGTTATTATGATAAATGACTGTAGTACCATCTGTATGTATGAGTGAGAGAAGATGGATGGACGTTAATATGAGAATTTTAATTGCGTTGACCGTAATAGAAGGGAAGTCCGTGTAGATTAGTTTCATTTTTAGGGAAAGTTAGAGTAATTTTCCAAATTATAGGAAAAGTGCCTGTAATTATGGCCAATCATAATGGAGGTCAGTATAATTTATCCTATAAATTATTGTATGCAATAATGTATGTATTTATTCAGTTTTTCAAAGTAGATGGTCAATAGTTTAAATTATAAGGTGTATGAGTTCTAACAAAAAAAAATAAATAACTAAAAAAAAAAAAACGAATAGAGAATAAACATTTTCGTTAATTTTATTTAATCTCCGTGTACCAACCGTGGCCTAACTGATTAGAATCAAACTATGTTGCATATATTGAAGATGGGGTTATATGCTCTATAATTCAAAAGAAGATGGTTCTATGCTCTATAATTTTAAATCCAACAAAAGGAGAATTAGAATAAGAGAATCTAGGACGAGTGGAATCCTACTAAAAAAAGTCTATATCCACCGTGTTCAATCGTGTGCATCTAATCCAAATCTAAGAGAATATGACCTAAAATATAGGTTTTCGAAAAGAACGAGTGTCCATTAACTGAATTAAAAAGTGATTAATTGTTAATGCTAAATTAATATATACAAACCTTTTTGAGTATGTTATTTGCCTGATCTCTTGTTCAAAAGTTGCATTGATTAAGCTCTGTAAAGTAAGATTATACTTGGAATCTACTCAAGATTATGTATAGAAATCATTGCATTTATGGATTAGCCTCCTTACATTGCTAGAATAAGTAACTGTACTTTAGGCATATTTCAAGCATCTCTCCCCCTCCCTCTCTCTCTCTCTCTCTCTCTCTCTCTCTATATATATATATATATATACACACACTTGAATATTAATATAGATTATGGAGAGAAAATGGAGCCCAGAGTTAACTCATTTGAAGTTAAAAGCAAAATCATTCACTAAATTTGTTTAAGTGGACTAAGTTCCTTCCCACCAGGGTAGCTTTTGTTTAGCCTTGATGACCTTTTTTCGTCTTGCCGCTGTTTATCTCTATTGTTATACTTGACATCAATTCAAATATATTTTACCAATCTCTCCTTCAAAGAAGGATTTTATTAGTTTATCACTGTCCAGGTACCATACCATGAGATATTTAATATTTTCGCATTATATTAATCATGACGTAGTATCACTAATCAATTTATCATTATATAAATATAAAAATCTTATACAAAAATCTTATTAGAGTATTTCATTGGATGTTAATATGTGATATTCCATATTAAGTAATTATGTTGTGTCTAAGATTAGTGACCTAAAATAAAGTGGCATTTTTTTTTTTTTTTCCTTAATTTGGTACTTACACATGACCTTTCTTTTGAAAAATAGAAGTCTGATAGCACTAAGTCATTGACCCATTGATAAAATACAATAGTAACTCACATGAGTGTTACATACTATAGCAAGGAGAAAAATAAAAAATAAAATCCACCAAATCCCTTAGGATTAAAAGCTAATTGCATTTAGTCAAAAGAAAATCCACTATTAAATAATAATAATATCGAACGTTTATACAAATTTACTTTTTAAGTTTCCGACCTTAGGTATCGTTGGGTCTTTTCTTTTATTTTTATTTTGAGTTGGGTATGCTTCAGGAATTCATAATACGTATCTTGAACCTATGTGGTAGTGATGGAGTTACTTTCTAATTAAAATACCACATATGCCATTAAAACAAAAAATCCAAACATTTATCAGGAAAAAAAAGGCAAAAGTGCGAAAAAAAAAAAACTGTGAGGGTTCACCAAGTGAACAAAATACCTTATATGTTATAAAAGTGAGCAAATCACTACTTATAATTTCAAAATAAGCAACTGACAGAGACTTTTCAGCTAACTGTTGCATCACGCGTGTGTATTTTTTAAATGATGCCAATATTGCCCTTTAAAATGACCGTTTTATCATTTGCCAAAACCTTCTTCCATTCATTTGAGCAACCTATTCATTGATATATTATTTGAATTGTGAAGTTTATTTCTTTATTAATTGAACATAACTTTTTGCAACTGTTAAAAAACGTAGTTATATAATTATTTGCTCCTGTAGAGTTCAATTGTTAATTTCACTGTAGAATTCGAATTTTGGTTTAGTTATCTGAACTTATTTGGTTTTATTCTGTGTGATTGTTGGCCCTCTTCTTCTTCTTCTTCTTCTTCTTCTTCTTCTTCTTTATTTTATTTTATTTTATTTTATTTTATTATTATTATTATTATTATTATTATTTTTTTTTTTGGCATTTCACGTATGTGTAGGACAAGGATTAATTTTGTAAGGTTTATACCTGAAATCGAGGGACCAACTTCCTATGTTTGAATGAATTTACCCTTTTTGAATTCAATTATGCAGTTTTTACTATTGTATGCAAGGTTCATTTATCACTTCACTTTATCATTCCTTGAAGCGAGAAAAACTCCATGTGAAAAATTGAGATCAGAGCAAGAGATATATGTAATATCCCTAATTTTAAAAAGATAGTCTCAGTATTTAATTAATTATTTAAGTACATTTTTAAATTTATTATTTAATTATTTGGTTAATTGTTTAATGGGATAATTTCACTTACCTCCCCTGAGGTTAGGCCTAATTACAGGCGATACCCCTAACGTTTCAAATATTACACTTCCCTCCCTCCAGGTTAACTCCGTCATAACAATCTGCCCCTCCCGTTAGTAGTCAACGCCGTCTTTTGATGATGTCAGCCTCTTCTCAATGTGAAATACCATATTTGCCCTCAAAAAAGTTGCAAAGACATTTACACCCTCACTGTTGATTTAAAATTCTTTAATACCCTCAATATAAAGACAAAAAGACCTTCTATATCTATATATATATACACACACACACACACACACATACTATATCATCTCCTCTCTCCTCTGTATGAGTCTCTCTGAACTTTAATTTCTCTCTAAAATTCTATATAATGGTCTCTCTAATATCATATGTTTTTTTATTTATTAACAAACAACAAAAAGTAAACAATGAATTTCAAGAAAACAATATTAAACTTTTTGTTTTTTTTGGTAATTACCATATTAAACATTTTGTCAAAGGGAAG